GTTAGAACGTGGTAGCTCTCGTCAAATGATGATCTCCAGCATCATCTTGTTCATGTCAGGCTTTTCATCCACTGACCACAGCCACCTGTAAAAATCAAGGGGACAAGCAGCTATTTAACACATCTGGAAGGAAACTAGTGGGATTTTAATATGGCCATGACCATTATGATATGATGTTATGTGGGGGAGTGGTGGCACAGAGGTTAGAAGATGGGCCTGTGATTTGAAAGTCGCAGATTCAACTCCCGGTACCATCAACACCAAAATGTGGGTGGAAAAGGTGGAACACCCACACCTGCCTCCACCCTCATTCGCCCCACTCTGGGCCCCTGAGCAAGGCCCTTAACCCCCACCATGTGCTCCCTAAACAGGTCTCTCTTGAAAATGAGTTCTCGGGACTCATAGAGACTACCTGTACAAATAAAGGGTAAATGAAAAATAAAAGTTTAAAAGAGAAATACATCATTAGGCCGAGGTTTTGGGTGTGACGTGCACGTTCCTGAGAGGCCACAGACAGACCAGCTTCAGCTTTTGTTGAGTTCCTGTAGTCCTGCAGTTTTCAAGCTGAAATGAAAAAACATTATGAATATGAACTTTACAGTCTATAGTTACCTGTACATATAAACACATGGAGGTATTTCACTTTGTGACTGACAATAAAATATGTAACTTTATGAACATTAATGAACTTATAATGATGCTCCCACTCTTTGAAGGTGAACCGATAGTACCACACCATGTCTGAGTCGGACAGTCTGATCAGTTTTATCAAAATCCTCCTGTTTAAAATCCTCACTGCACAAATGAATCCTCCTCAAATATACTTCCACCTCTTCCTCAATTCTTTTTCTTTGGGAAACCTTCAAAATTAAAACAGGAGATTTGTGTGTACACCAAAACAATGTACAAAGGAGGTCGATTTTATTTTCTATTTCCTACATTCTCCCTAGTTTTTTTTTATATTCTAGAACTTAAACAAAACTCCAATTCTGATGCATATCTGTTGATAATGATAATGAACTAAAGCTACTAAAATTGTGAGTGTGCTTGTTAGAAAAATATTCCTGTCATCAGATCTCAGTTAGCTTCATTGCAGCTGAACACCGGTGTAACACTGAACATCACATCAGCTGGTGGACATAAATACAGTACAGTAATATTATATTTACAAAATACTAACAATATGTTCATCTTACTTGTGAAAAGTTATACCCCCGAGACCTGACGTCAACAGTCCGTCGATTTGATCAGAAATAAGCTGCGAAGTGCTGAAACATCTTCTGCTTTAACCAAATAAGGTTGACCTCTTCAAGATGGCAGCTGAAATTCCTGCGCCGCAGCAGCCAATGGGGGCTCTAGTGATTATATGATATCTATGAGCCACGTCCCCAACAACACAAAGTATAAAGTTTGACGTTGAACAATCCCTATCTGACCCCTGTTACCTGATCAGCATGATAGTTTGTCCAGTGACTGAAGACATGTTGGTGTAACTTGCTTTCCAACACTGACAGTTTTGGGTGGAGCAGGTGGGCATCGAGAAGGAAGACGTAACGCCGTTGTCATACGTTTGCCTCTGAATTCCACAGATTTGAACTGAGGTGCACCAAAATCATTATGATTGATCATTATCCACCCCTTGAACAGGAATCCATGATAATTGGCCGATAACCTCCACAGCGCCCCCTAGAATATTTTAAAACCTCAGCCCCAAGCCATTTTTTGACCGATAATTCTGAAACTCTGTTAACATCTTTATCTTCTCAGGACGTATGAAAAAGTCTCTTGGAGCCCTGGTCCAAACTCAACAGGAAGTCTGCCATTTTGGGTCAAAGGGTCATTTTTGGGTGTTTCTACTTTCTAATTTTAACTAACTCCTCCTAGGAATTTTGAAGGATTGCCTTCAAACTTGGTTGATAGCCCTTAAGACATTGGAGAGTAAAAGTTATCTAAAGCTTGCGTTTTCATATATGTTAAAGGGGCGTGGCCAGGCCTCAAAGTTTCGCTTCACGCCATAAATTTCCAAACACTAACTTTCACATTGAAAGACTGAAATGCACGAAATTGACATGACTTATCCCTGTTGGATGCCCGACAATCCACTGTGGTCATATTTTGACGTCATCAAAGCCCCACCCCCTCGGAACAGGAAGTCGCTTTTTTAACTTTGAATGCTCCCTCTTTTACACCATTGACCTAATCAGGATGATCCTGTGTTAGAAGACAGATAATATGGTCTGACTTGATTTAAAGCACAAACCGTTTTTGCTTGAGGATGTGGGCATGGCGGCGTGACGAATTAAGATGTGACGCCGTTGCAATACGTTTGGCTCTAAATTGCACAGATTTCAGCCGAGGTGCACCAAAATGCACTATGATCGATCATTATCCACCCCTTGAACAGGTATCCATGATAAATTGCCAAAAGCCTCCACAATGCCACATAAATTATTCCTAAAGTTATAGCTCAGTGATTCAACATCCAATCTGCACCAGATTTAGTGTGCGTCATCAGAGAGGACTTTTAGACACATTGGTTTTGTTGTTTAACATTTGACTCAAGTGTGCCCCATACATTATTCAAACTGTTATATTTCAATGATATATTATCCAATCTTTACCAGATTTTTGTGCTTGATCAGTGAGCACTTCTATATACATTTGTGTTATTTAACATTTGACTTGAGTGCGCCTCTTAGATTCCAAAAGTTATATCTCAGTGAAATATCATCCAATATGTACCAGATTTATTGTGCGTGATCATTGAGCACTTATAGACACATTGATATTGTTCTTTAACATTGGACTCAACTACGCCCCCTACATTATTCCAACTGTTATATCTCAGTGATACATCATCCAATCTGATCCTGAGTCTTTGTGATTCATCAGTGAGTACTTGTAGACACTGGTATTGTTGATTCACATTCACAAGAAAACAGGAAGTCACCATAACTACTGTCTGGAAGATCAGATTTCGTCTATACTTGTAAGACCTGCAGCTGGACAAGTAATGACATGGACGGAAGGTGATGTCGAAGATTCGGGAAATGCGCCCCCGGTGAACGCGTGCAGGATTGACATGAGAAAGTTCGCAATGGCGAATGGGTGGACTAGTTGGAGCTCCTGTGGTTGCCGTAATGCCGGAGCGGCGCTTTGTTACGAGGGCCTCCAATGCTGCTTGCAGCTTTAATATTAGTTTTGTGCCTACGTGCTGAAAAATTGTGAGTAGCACAAAAACACTCTGCTCTCTGCCATTTATTATAACTGTTGTTAGTGCAGACAAACTTTTGACTGCAACCTCCTGTAGTGCGCATGTGCCATGACTACTTGTCCTAAGCCTGGTTCTGCTAAAGGTTTCTTCCTCATGAGGGAGTTTTTCCTTTCCTCTGTCGCCTTCAGGCTTGCTCAAGATGAGAGTTCTGTGATGGAGTTAAAGTAAAAGCAGTCTGCTCAGATAAATAGTGTTAAATTATTATTTTTAAATATAAATGTTTCTTGTTAACAAATTTTGTATATAAATGTTTCTGTTCAGTGTATTGAGACAACTTCTGTTGTGACTTGGTGCTATATAAATAAACTGAATTGAATTGAACTTCACACTTGGAGCATTTCACACATCTGTGGGGAGTTCCCCAAAAAATCTCCTCACTGGGACCTGGATTCAGAAACCTTCAGTTTCACAGAGAACGAGGGCTGTTGTCTGTAAATAAATGGACTTTTCACATTGTGTAAACGGGGCCTCAGACTGGCTGTTCTGTATTCAAATTCAAATTCAAAAATACTTTATTAATCCCAGAGGGAAATTATTAGTTGTAGTAACTCGTTATCCTCATTTCATTAAGAGATGTTATAGATACTGATGGCTGTAGACAGGAAGGATCTCTTGTAGGTCCATTCCACAGTGGATCCTAAGAAACTGGCTGCAGATGCCGTCCGATCCGTCCACCCAGACTTGGCTGGCCTCTCGGTTCCCCCGGGCTGTAGGACCGCCTGAATGCCGGGCAGAACTCCTCCCAGAGCGATGGCCACTCCTCCCAGGAGCCTGCTGAGCTCCTCGTCGCTGTGGACAGCCAACTGCAGGTGCCGAGGGACGATCCTGTCCTTCCACTGTCATGAGCCATGTTTCCTGCTAGTTCCAGGATCTCAGTGGTCTGGCACTCGAGCACAGCTGGCAGGTAGATGAGAATGCGTCCACAGAACATCCTTTTCAACTCACTTAAGATTTGGGGCTGTAGCTGAGATATTATTTGAGCTTTTGAGATGTTAATCAGCTGCTGGTTGTAGAAAACTGCCTTGTTGTTATGGTTACGCATCATAACAAATGTCCAAAACTAAAAAAGTTTCAGTAAAAATCCTTCCAGCTGCACAGCATCTGATACCAGAGGAAACAATCATCCAAAAAAATGTGACTTACATCCAGAAAAAGATGAATTAAAGTTCCCAAAAGCACAATCTCAGAATGAAAGTAACAGAGCTGCTCCAACATGCAGCCACCTTGAGCGGAGCAATTCTAGAACCATGACTGATATGATATGTCTATCAAGAGACAAATTTCATGGATGATAGACTGATGTCTATTTTTTTAATGCCATGAGGTCTACTCACAATACCTTTGGAGATGGACTGGTAGATCGCCATCAACATATTGGACAAATCTGCCTATTGAAGACGACTCCACAGGAGTTCTGCATTCGGGTTTCCTGTTATGTATGAAATGTCCTGGCGAAAACTAACTTTGTTCTTCTTAAGAGCTCAAGAAAACAAACCTGTTCTTTCATAGAAGCTTTAGAAAGTTAAGTGAACTTGCCTGCTTTGATTTAAGAACTTTACAAACCAATGCGGATTTGATGGATGTTTCATATAAAATCAAAAGTAGTAGAATTTGTTATTAAAAAATGCATTGTTCAAAATGTTTTCCAGCTTTAAATGGTGTGTTAATGTTAAATCAGCAGGTCTTTGAAAAACACCTAAATGGGTTTGATGTCCTCTCTGTGCAGGCTATGGAGCTGCTGGTTGAGAAGGCCATTAGTAGCGCCTCTGCCCCCCTCAGCCCTGGTGATGCTCTCAGACGAGTCTTTGAATGTATTTCTTCTGGGATTTTACTCACTGGTAAGATCACATTAAAAACACTCAACTTTGTTGATGACTTTATGCTGGTGTATGTTTTCACTGTCACGGTGCATGCAAATCATTCTCTCTCCCCTATCCTCCCTTGTCAGGGTCATTAAGGTTTTTACCAGCAAAATCCACGAGACAGATGTTTCTCTCTGGTCTTCATGTTGTAACATGAGTGTTAGCACACAGATACTGATGTACAGGTGCTGGTCATAAAATTAGAATATCATGAAAAAGTTTATTTATTTCACTAATTCCATTCAAAAAGTGAAACTTGTATATTATATTCATTCATTACACAGACTGATATATTTCAAATGTTTATTTATTTTACCGTTGATGATTATAACGGACAACTAATGAAAACCCCAAATTCAGTATCTCAAAAAAATTGAACATTACTTAAGACCAATGTAAAAAAAGGATTTTTAGAAATGTTGGCCAACTTTAAAGTATGAACATGAAAAGTATAAGCATGTACAGCACTCAGTACTTAGTTGGAGCTCCTTTTGCCTTGATAACTGCAGCAATGCGGCGTGGCATAGAGTCGATCAATCTGTGGCACTGCTCAGGTGTTATGAGAGCCCAGGTTGCTCTGATAGTGGCCTTCAGCTCTTCTGAATTGTTGGGTGTGGTGTATTACATCTTCCATCCATCCATCCATCCATTATCTTCCGCTTATTCCGAAGTCGGGTCATGGGGGCAGCAGCTTGGGCAGGGAGGCCCAGACATCTTTCCACAGCTACCTCTTGCAGCTCTTCTGGAAGGATTCCAAGGCGTTCCCAGGCCAACCGAGAGACATGGTCTCTCCAGCGTGTCCTGGGTCTTCCCCGGGATCTCCTTCCAGTTGGACATGCCCGAAGCACCTCTCTAGGGAGGCGCCCAGGAGGCATCCTTACCAGATGCCCAAACCACCTCAACTGGCTCCTCTCGACATGGAGGAGTAGCGGTTCTACTCCGAGTCTCTCCCAAATAACTGAACTTCTCACCTATCTCTAAGGGAGAGTCCAGCTACCCTGCAGAGAAAACTCATTTCAACCGCCTGTATCCACAATCTCATTTTTCCGGTCACTACCCAGAGCTCATGGCCATAGGTGAGGTTAGGAACGTAGACCGACCGTTAAATGGAGAGCTTTGCCTTACAGCTCAGCTCCCTTTTCACCACAACGGACCGGAACAGAGTCCGCAAAACTGCAGATGCTGCACCAATTTGTCTATCAATCTCCCTCAATCGTGGACAAAACCCCGAGATACTTGAACTCCTCCACTTGAGGCAGAACCTCACCCTCGACCTGAAGAGAGCAATCCACCCTTTTCCGGTTGAGGACCATGGCCTCAGATTTGGAGGTGCTGATTCTCATCCCAGCCGCTTCACATTCGGCTGCGAACCGCTCCAGTGAGAGCTGAAGATCACAGCATGATGACGCCACCAGGACCACATCATCTGCAAAGAGCAGAGATGGAATCCTGAGGCCACCGAAACGGAAACCCTCCGCCAGCTGGCTGCACCGAGAAATTCAGTCCATAAAAGTTATGAACAGAATCTGTGACAAAGAGCAGCCCTGGCGGAGTCCAACTCCCACCCTGAATGGGTCCGACATACTGCCGGCAATGCAAACCAAACTCTCGCACCGCTTGTATAGGGACTGAACAGCCCGTAACAACGGGCCTCCAATCCAATACTCACGGAGCACCCCCCACAGTGTACACCAAGGAACACGGTCAAATGCCTTCTCCAAGTCCACAAAACACATGTAGATTGGATGGGCAAACTCCCATGACCCCTCAAGGACCCTAGTGAGGGCAAAGAGCTGATCCAGTGTTCCACGGCCAGGACGGAACCCACATTATTCCTCTTGGATCTGAGGTTCGACCAACGATCGGACTCTCTTGTCCAGTACCCCTGAATAGACCTTACCAGGAAGGCTAAGGAGAGTGATGCCCTTATAATTGGAGCACACCCTTCGGTCTCCCTTTTTGAAGAGGGGAACCACCACCCCATTCTGCCAGTCCATTGGCACTGCCCCCATGTCCACGTGACGTTGGAAAGGCGTGTCAGCCGAGACAGCCTCACAACATCCAGAGCCTTAAGGAAATCAGGGTGAATCCATCCCTGCCGCCTCAAAGCTTTTTAACTACCTCGGCGACCTCAGCCACGGTTATGGATGGATCAACCCCAAAGTCCTCCGACTCAGCTTCCTCCATTGAAGACATGCTGGTGGGATTGAGAAGGTCCGAGAAATATTCCTTCCACCTCCTGACGACATCACTGGTTTAGGTCAATAACACCCCACCTTCACTGAACACAGTGTTAGTAAAGTGCTGCTTTCCCCTCCTCAGTCACCTTATGGTTTGCCAGAATCTCCTCGGAGCCAACCAAGAGTTTCTATCCAAGGTCTTGCTTTTCCCACATCTGAGCTTTTGTTTCAGCAACAGCCAAGGCTGCACACCGCTTGGTCCTCCGGTACTCCTCAGCTGCCTCCAGAATCCCTCTGGCCAACAAGACCCGATAGGACTCCTTCTTCAGCTTGACAGCCTCCCTAACTCGGGGTGTCCACCACCGAGTTCATGGATGACCACCGCGAGAAGCACCGACAACCTTGCGGCCACAGCTCAAGGCAGCTACCTCAACAACGAGGTGCGGAACATGGCCCACTCAGACTCAAATGTTCCCCACCTCAGCTGGAATGCGGTTAAAGCTCTCCCAGAGGTGTGAGTTGAAGATCTCTCTGATGGGTTCTTCTGCCAGGCATTCCCAGCAAACTCTCACTACATGTTTGGGTCTACCGGGTCTGTCCGGCATCTTCTCCCACCATCTGATCCAACTCACTACCAGATAGTGACCATTGACAGCTCAGCTCCTCTCTTTACCCAAGTGTCCAAAACAAACGGCCGCAAATCAGATGGCACGACTATGAAGTCAGTCATCGATCTATGACCTAGGGCGTCCTGGTGCTAAGTGCACTTATGGACACCCTTATGTTTTAACATGGTGTTCATGATGGACAAACTATGACTAGCACAGAAGTCCAACAACAGAACACCGTTCGGGTTCAGATCAGAGAGACCGTTCCTCCCAATCACACCCCTCCAGGTCACACTGTCATTACCCACGTGGGCATTGAAGTCTCCCAGCAGAATAAAGGAGTCCCCAGCTGGCGCACCTTCCAGCACTCCTGCCAAGGACTCCAAGAAGGCCAGATACTCTGAACTGCAGTTTGGTGCATAGGCACAAACAATAGTCAGTGCCCGTCCCCCCACCCAAAGGCGAAGGGAAGCCACCCTCACATCTACCAGGGAAAACTCCAACACATAGGCACCAAGTTGGGGGGCTACAAGTAGACCCACACCAGCTCGACGCCTCTCATCATGGGTAACTCCAGAGTGGAATAAGGTCCAACCCCTCTCAAGGAGATCAGTTCCAGAGCCCATGCTGTGCGTCGAGGTGAGCCCAACTATATCTAGTCTGTACCTCTCAACCTTGTGCACAAGCTCAGGCTCCTTCCCAGCCAGAGAAGTTACTTTCCATGTCCCAAGAGCTAGCTTTGGTAAGCCAGGGTCAGAGCACCAAGGTCCCCGCTTTCGGCCACTGCCCATAGCATCATGCACCCTACTTTTATGGCCCTTCCTGCAGGTGGTGGGTCCACAGGAAGGCAAACCCATGCTGCTCCTTTGGGCTGAGCCCGACCAGGCCCCATGGGCAGAGACCCAGTCACCAGGCACTCATCGACGAGCCCCTCCCCCCAGGTCTGGCTCCAGGGTGGGGCCCCGGTAACCCACGTCTGGGCAAGGGACACTGAGTTCCTTATTTTATTTTGTCCATAAAAATCTTCTGAATTGTTCTTTGTCTGGCTTGTGACCTATGACCAATCTGCCTTGGGAGACTCTACCGGGGCAATTATAATTGCCCCCGACAGCATAGCTCCTAGGATCATTCATGCGTACACACTTCTCCACCACGATAAGTTGGCCATTCAAGGAGGTGTTGTGTATTGTGTATCACATCTTCCTCTTCACAATACCCCATAGATTTTCTATGGGGTTAAGGTCAGGCAAGTTTGCTGGCCAATTAAGAACAGGGATACCATGGTCTTTAAACCAGGTACTGGTAGCTTTGGCACTGTGTGCAGGTGCCAAATCCTGTTGGAAAACGAAATCTGCATCTCCTTAAAGATGGTCAGCAGCAGGAAGCATGAAGTGTTCTAAAACTTCCTGGTAGATGACTTCGTTGACCTTGGATCTCTAAAAACACAGTGGACCCACACCAGCAGTTGACATGGCACCCCAAACTATCACTGACTGTGGAAACTTGACACTGGACCTCAAGCAATGTGGATTCTGTGCCTCTCCTCTCTTCCTCCAGACTCTAGGACCTTGATTTCCAAAGGAAATGCAAAAATTACTTTCATCAGAGAACATAACTTTGGACCACTCAGCAGCAGTCCTAGGCGAGACGCTTCTGACGCTATCTCATTGTTCAAGAGCGGATTGACACAAGGAATGCAACAGCTGAAACCCATGTCTTGCATATGTCTGTGCGTGGTGGTTCTTGACTGAGTCCAGCTGCAGTGCACTCTTTGTGAATCTCCCCCACATTTTGGAATGGGTTTTGTTTCACAGTCCTCTCTAGGGTGTGATTATTATCCCTATTGCTTGTACCTCATCTTTTCCTTCCCTTCACCTCTCTGTTATTGTGCTTGGACACAGAACTCTGTGAACAGCCAGCCTCTTTAGCAATGAACTTTTGTGTCTTGTCCTCCTTGTGCAAGGTGTCAATGGTCGTCCTTTGGACAACTGTCAAGTCAGCAGTGTTCCCCATGATTGTGAAGCCTCCAGAATTAGACTGAGAGACCATTTAGAGGCCTTTGCAGGTGTTTTGAGTTAATTAGCTAATTAAAGTGTGGCACTAGGTGTCTTCAATATTTAACCTTTTCTCAATATTCAAATTTTCTGAGATACTGAATTTGGGTTTTCATTAGTTGTCAATTATAATC